TACCCGTGCTCGTGGATTTCACCAATTAAGCTGACACGCCGTGATATAACTGGAGAACCGTTAAAAGAGTCGTTAAACCCAAACTCAGTCACTCACGCATTCACCTAACCACGAGACGCCCCACTTCCTATCATATGTGAACAGTGATCTTGGTTCTCACTTCTGTCGACAAAAAGGCGGTTAGACAGTCAGGTGCAGAGGGGGGAGTCCAGATCCGTTCGTCGGTGAAGATGTCAGCCAGGATACGGACACAAACACGTTCATGAAGTAAAATTACTGCGATGTAGAGGTTGGTGAGTCAGTACACGTGGCCTAAACGTCTGTATTCATTGTGTAGAGGTTGGTGAGTCAGTACACGTGGCCTAAACACCTGTATTCAGTGTGTAATGGTTGGGGAGACAGTACACGTGGCCTAAGCGCCTGTATTCAGTGTGTAGAGGTTGGTGAGTCAGTACACGTGGCCTAAACACCTGTATTCAGTGTGTAGAGGTTGGTGAGTCAGTACGCGTGGCCTAAACGCCTGTATTCAGTGTGTAGAGGTTGGTGAGTCAGTACACGTGGCCTAAACGTCTGTATTCATTGTGTAGAGGTTGGTGAGTCAGTACGCGTTGCCTAAACACCTGTATTCAGTGTGTAATGGTTGGGGAGACAGTACACGTGGCCTAAGCGCCTGTATTCAGTGTGTAGAGGTTGGTTAGTCAGTACACGTGGCCTAAACACCTGTATTCAGTGTGTAGAGGTTGGTGAGTCAGTACGCGTGGCCTAAGCGCCTGTATTCAGTGTGCAGAAGTTGGTGAGTCAGTACACGTGGCTTAACGCCTGTATTCAGTGTGTAGAGGTTGGCGAGTCAGTACGCGTCGCCTAAGCGCCTGTATTCAGTGTGTAATGGTTGGGGAGACAGTACACGTGGCCTAAGCGCCTGTAATCAATGTATAATGATTGGGGAGTAAGTACGCGTGGCCTAAGCGCCTGTATTCAGTGTATAATGGTTGGTGAGTCAATACGCGTGGTCTAAACGCCTGTATTCAGTGTATAATGGTTGGGGAGACAGTATACGTGACCTAAGCGCCTGTATTCAATGTATTATGGTTGGGGAGACAACCCCTGGCGTTATCATACTGTTGATGGTCCCCTCTGTACATTGTGACCTTTGCATTTCCTTGACATGAAAGTTTTTAGTTCAGTATTGCAGGGCATAGTTTGTGATTTTCCCATGAGAATATCAAGGAAACATTAATCAAAATGGTCCAAATATAGTATAATATTTACATGACAAAGGCAACAGGGATAATGTTATCTGCTTTGTGTTTGTGGAGATGTTAAATGCCCCATGACCATGAACAGTTGACAGAGATTGTCTGAAACGATTATTAAGGAGCTCACACTTAACCTTTCAACAAGCCAAGTGTAGAGATACAAACATACAACAATACAGATTGACACAGTTTCCATTCCACAGTTTCGAATGTACTGAAGATGTGTCGCCTGTACACACACAGCTAACCCGGAAGTAGTGAGTGAGTGAGTGAGTGACTGAGTATGGTTTTACGCCGCTTTTAGCAATATTCCAGCACTATCACGGCGGGGGACACCAGAAATGGGCTTCACACATTGTACCCATGTCGGGAATCGAACCCGGGTCTTCGGCGAGACGAGCGAACGATTTAACCACCAGGCTACCCGACCGCACGTAACCCGGAGGTAGAACACTTCACGTCACTTCACGTCACTTCCTGGTTGTTGATAGAGATTGTTTCCTGCACTTTACCCAACTGATGTTTGTTTTGAGTAATATTTTCACGAAATGAAATAATTCACATTTTAAGAAACTTAAACTGAGATGGGCGTGTCATTTCCTTGAGGGGAATCGAACTCCGACCTCGTGTGAGATTGTACGTAACACACTACCACTGGCCCACCCTATTGTGTTGTTTCAATGCCAGCAATTGCAGCGCATGACATAAATTAACATGCCTAGTTCGCCTTGCACACTTTAATCCACAACAATTTTTTTCATGAGTAGGCAATGAACTTGTCGTAAGAGACGACTGATGGGATCGGGTGGTCAGGCTCGCTGTCTTGGTTGATGCATGTCATCGTATCCCAGTGGCGTAGATCGATGCTCATAATGTCAGTCACTGGATTGTCTGGTCCAGTCTCGATTATTTACAGACCACCGTCAGATAGCCGAACTATTGCTGAGTGGACTCGATCAAGGTCATCCCCAAATTCATAAAGACACTGGGGACGGGAACTGTTATAATGTTGAGTAACATCTGTGAAGGTCAAGGTCGCCGTGAAGGTGATTGTGGTGCAGTTGTTTAATGATTTCAGTGATAATGGATGGAAAGTGATTTTAATCTTATAACGGAAGTGATCGTGACCTAATTCAAATGAACAGAATATGTCATGTTTCTGTGGTTAGTTGAGTTGAGTTGAGTTGAGTTGAGTTGGGGTGATCTGAGGTGAGATGAAATGGGATTTAACAAGATTATTGCACTCATAGCGACGTGCATGCACGTGTGGGTGTGGGTGTGGATGTGGGTGTGGGTGTGGGTGTGGGTGTGGGTGTGGGTGTGGGTGTGGGTGTGGCTTCTTGTGCTAAAACTCAGGACTGATGCAGGTTCAATAGTGCAACTCTTCATGTTTTTAAAGATACCAGTACTTTAAACATGGATACCTCACTCAGACTCACCATAGTGACCCCGTGTCGAACCAGTTTTATCACATTCATGCCGAGCGCCAGGCAAGATAGCAACAAGTACCTCATTTTAACGTTTTTTTGTATGACGCGGGAAGTGTTACTGCAGGCGGGCGAGACTTCGTATTAAAGTTCATGTTGTAAATTGATATAATTTTATTATATCAAGGTCAACCACATTGTGATCCACGCCTGCTATGCCTTGGTTGTGCTGTTCTCACCTGCATTCAACAACATGTGTTGTGGACAGATGCCCACGTGCGACTGTGTTGCTAGCGTCACACTGTGACCAGTGTACTTGGGTTTCTAGAGTTTGTTTGGCTTCTTGATAAATCGCTGCCGACGCTAATATCTCATGACATTTGTACAACGTTAGATTTAAATGACTAGTGCTGTCCACTAGGTGTGTGTTTGGGAGGGAGGAGGGGGAGGAGGGCAATTAGCTCTGCATCATTCCATTCATTTATTAAAAACACCAAGGGTCACTGAGTGAGTGAGTGAGTGAGTGAGTGAGTTGGGTTTAACGCCGCTTTTAACAGTATTTCAGTCGCGGCGTGTCAGCTTAATGTGGGAGGAAAGCCCGAAGTGATGCAGGTCTCAGACGTTTACCACTTCGGTGAAACCCACGAGCACGGGTATGGTGCTGACAAACCTAATCGGGGCGAACCGGGATTCGAACCCACAATCATAAGTTTCTGGCTGCCAAAGGGACGCAACTCTGCATAGCGAATCGCGGCGCCTCAGACGGCTGGGCCTCCCGTGCCACCCAAAGGTCACTGAGAAAACCATACATTGTGAACATAACTAGGCTATCAATGCCAAGCATGTGTTTGTGACGGGTGCTACTGGTAGGGAAGGATAACCTAACCGTTAACGCATACCTGGTATCATCACTAATTGATAGCTATTCACAAAACATTCTTGTCATATAGTCGGAAGCGTCTGTCCCGTAACTCGTACTCAGATAACCAGATGAAAGTTCGCAGCAATTTGAGCTGGATTTCGTTGAGCTTGTCATAGGATCAATCGATCCTTTACTCTTGTCGTTGACCTGGGCCCAGGGACGCTCTGGGCGGGGTTGATAGTCAACATTTTGGGTTTGTTAGTACCTTTTCATAGTTTGCTGACCACAAACTGTGAAACATTGAATGTATTGACCAGTGCACGTCGTCATCTTCCAGTTTCCAGCTTGCAATAGTGCGTGGACGCTTTGCGCTTTGCAGACGCCACATCGCTACACAAACAATGCATGAAGTTAAGTAAATCACAACTAGCAGAATCAATAAAGAGACAGAAAAATTGGTCAACAGAGATTACTCGACCTTCCTTGAAAGTGTCAAAATCAGGAATGACACCCTACGTTCGTGTGTAACCCTACTGCGTGAGGCACGTGTAAACTATGGGATGTGTTTTGGTGTTATGTTATGCAGACATATACGTTCTTGCATACTATGTTTTCGTCAACACTTATCTTCAGCCCAATACTTGTATTAACATTTATATTTCATGATCCCCTACTTGTTTTAAACAGTACAGCATAGTGGATAGATAAAAGGAGGCTGGGTGTTTTTGATTATACAAAATACTAGAAAAATGCTTCTTCTATCCTTGTGCGAGCATGATGAAACGATAAATAATAATGAATTTGTTTACAACGGGTATTTATATCACATCCTAACGTCACGCCCAATGGAGCACTGTTTGTCCATTCAGCATAGAGAGGGCATTCTGTTTATAGCGCAAACTTCCCCCAGTATTAGGCCATACCAGGAAGTATATCGCTGGTGAGCATGGTGTAATTCAATACACTTAGTTTGAATCAAAAGTGGATTTGTTTGAATGCATTTATGACTACCTGTTAGAGATCTTTAAGATAATCAATCTATTCGCCACCGTTCACACATGCTGAAGCTTGGCGGGAGACCGTGACCTCGATGCACCTAACAGAGTTGAAAGGCTATTTCTCGGGAAATCCCCATGTCTTCCCCAAGGCTCGTGAGGTCGCGTCAGCATCAGTCCCTTTCCCAGACCAGGCCTCAGCGCTACGTTTATCGAGAATATATATAGTCATAAGCATATATAGAACATACATACATACAGCATATATACAGACACTTTGTTTTCGCTGAAGCTGGCGAGCTATTTTTACGGCGACGTTATTCTTCTTCACGAAATGCCCCCATTCTGCCTTGAATTCACTACGATCTGTCAAACCAAATATGGAGCGGATGTACTGCTGAACGGGGTTTTCCGTGACGATGTAAAAACACGTCACGAGAGGACGACTATAAACCTGCAGTGCAATGAGGAAGTAAATCACTACGACGGCGGGTGGCGACATCGACAGTCGACATGTTGTGCTTCGTCTTCGGTGTTAGTATTGTAGCCGGCGTAATCGGGGGCGAATTGCTTAACACTGTCCAGAAACCTGAGTTTCCTAAAGGTGACGTCCGAGCGTGTTACGGAGATAACAAGAAACTTGAGCGTTTTGAAGTTCTGCCTGGTCAAGGCTGGGACAACCTGCGGAACGTGGACGCCGGTCTCGTAGTCGTCTACAACTACTCCAGGTGTCGGACAACTGAAGACGGCCGTTTCCTCATCCCCGATACAGTCAACACCATCCCTCTGAAGGCAAGTAAGCTGAACGTTTATGCTGAACTCATTTCACATTGGTCTAACTACACCAGTACCACGGCTCACGGTGTAAACATCGATGCGGGACTTAAGTTTGGCTCAGTTAAAGTCAGTGGTACATTTTCTTCCGGTTATGAGAGTGTGAAATCCAAACAGATAGGTGATAAATCTTACACAACCCGAGTCCAACTGAGGTACGTTCGCTACTCAGCCAAGCTACAACCCGACGCCAGTCTCCACCCCACGTTCAAGTCTCGTCTTCTGAGTATCGCGGGAAGTCTGCAACTGAACAAGACGGACCAAGCACGCTATGATAGTGAACTTCTTGTGCGGGACTTTGGGACACACGTCGTCACCAGTGTGGATGCAGGTGCTGCCTTGGTGCAAGAAGACCAGGTGTCTTCGGAATTTGTGAACAGTAGGAAATTCACAAAGAATCAAATAACGGCTGGAGCGAGTGCCTCGTTGTTTGGGATCTTCAGTATTGATGTCTCTTATCATTCTTCTACGTCTAATGAAGTGAAGACAGCATATGAGAAGAGCAGATCCTCGTCTCAGATAGATACCCTGGGAGGTCCTATGTTCAAGGCATCCAACTTCACAGCCAACGACTGGACAAACGAGGTGGACCATGAACTGGTGGCTGTGGACAGGTCCGGTGACCCCCTCTTCTTCCTCATCAACTCCGCCTCTCTCCCCGAGCTGCCCAACTCCGTCCTCTATCAACTTCAGACCCTTGTTGAGGAGACTATTCTCCATTACTACGAGTTTAACACGTACAGAGGTTGTACAGAGCTGGACTCGCCGAACTTCAGCCCTGCGGCCAACTTGGATGACGGAACGTGTAAAAGTCCCTACACTAACCTGACATTTGGTGGAGTTTACCAAACCTGCAGTATGTCTTCAGGCTCAAACAACGGAGATCTCTGTTCTGGCCTCGACCAAGTCAACCCTAAGACAGGAGGGCATACCTGCCCGGATGGGTATGAATCAGTAGAGCTGCACACTGGACGCTTGTCCGACTCAAAGTCGGTCCACTCTTGTCACTCCTGCTGGCTTTTCTTCAAGTGTTGCCACGACAACTACTACCACAGCGAAGCTACCTACATTATGCATTGGTGTGCAGCTACGGGTCCGGTGTCTCAGGACTCCGGCTTCCTATTCGGAGGCCTGTACACGTCACAGCTGAACAACCCTCTCACCCAAGGAAAAACTTGCCCTGTCAACTTCTACACCCGCACCTTGGGGAAGGACCTCCACATCTGCATCAGTGATGACTACGAGCTGGGTATGAAGTATTCCATGCCATTCGGAGGTTTCATCAGCTGTACAACTGGTAACCCTCTTGCTATGAACCCTAAACCTAAGTCAAAGGGTGACATGAACTCGGCCTTGCCCTCACTGCACTCATTCTTCCAAGGATCCAAAACCTGGCCTAAGCATTGTCCCAAGGGCTACAGTCAGCATCTGGCCTACGTCGATCAGGGCTGTGAGATCAACTACTGCCTTCTGGCGGGATCTCTCTCAGAAGTTGGACTTCCAAAGATCCGACGGCCGCCATTCCAGACTGCTCCTCTGTTGCTCCCCAGTACTGAGAACCACGTGGTGTTTGACCCCGTGACCCTGACATGGCGTAAGAATCAAGAGGCAATGCAATTCATCAATGCACATGGTGGTGATGCTACGTCGTCGTCTACCGGAAGTGGTATGTCTGCTGGGGCAGCAGCTGGAATCGCTGTGGTTACTACTCTCGGATGTGTCGTCATCTCCACCATCATCATCGTCCTTATCAAGCGACGTCGAAAGTCATCAGCGGGATACCGCCATCTTGCAATTGATGATCCCCTTCTGTCTTCTCAAAGTAACTATGGTGCAACCGGAAGTGACGCAGTGAATGTAAACGTTGAGTAGGGACGTTATACTAATATGGTCCAGCTAAAGGCGATTGTCAATTCTTTTACTTTCTGGAGACTGCAGTAACCAATGTAAGACAAGTTTGCCAGAACGTATGTGTAACCACTGGTGAAAGACATGTGTACGAAAAAATGTGTCAACAACTATTATTGATTCGTTTGTTGTGGACAATTTGCATCATATATGACCCTATCTGTTTGCTTTGATATGTACATACTGTCAAACACGGTTGGAAACAAATTCACTCTTGCAATGTTGAGACATCAACATGGTTATAAAAAGATTCTTAATGCATAATATACATTGTTTTATACTATGTAGATTCATTCCCATTTATAACCATAAAATGTTAATGTCTGAAAGACTTGTCTTGATTGTGTCTTTTTTAACAATTCCCGCCCTACCATCTGTGCCGACCTTACTATCATAGTGTGTGAGTATGGTTTTAGCTATATTCCAGCAATGGCGGCGCACCTGACTTGTGTTTCACAAACTATAGCGTTGAGGGGAATCGAACCCGGGTCTTCGACGTGATGTGCAAACGCTTTAACCACCAGAGGACACGAGTGACCCAGTCGTTTTACGCGCCGCAATTCACTGTGCAGAGTTGCGTCCCTTTGGGCATGCCGGAAACATATGATTGTGGGTTCGAATCACGGTTGGTCCCGATTATGTTTCAAGGTTTGTCAGCACCATACCCGTGCTCGTGGATAACCACGAGACGCCCCACTTCCTATCTTGGTTCTCACTTCTGTTGACAAAAAGGCGGTTAAACAGTCAGGTGCATTCAGTGTGTAGAGGTTGGTGAGTCAGTACACGTGGCCTCAACGCCTGTAGTCATTGTGTAGAGGTTGGCGAGACAGTACACGTGGCCTTAGCGCCTGTATTCAGTGTATAATGGTTGGGGAGACAGTACACGTGGCCTAAGCGCCTGTATTCCGTGTGTAGAGGTTGTTGAGTCAGTACACGTGGCCTAAACGCCTGTATTCCGTGTGTAGAGGTTGGCGAGTCAATACGCGTGGCCTAAACGCCTGTATTCAGTGTGTAGAGGTTGACGAGTCAGTACACGTGGCCTAAACGCCTGTATTTCGTGTGTAGGGGTTTGTGAGTCAGTACACGTGGCCTAAGCGCCTGTATTCAATGTGTAGAGGTTGGCGAGTCAATACGCGTGGCCTAAACGCCTGTATTCAATGTATAATGGTTGGCGAGTCAGTACACGTGGCCTAAACGCCTAAATTCAGTGTGTAGAGGTTGGTGAGTCAATACGCGTGGCCTAAACGCCTGTATTCAGTGTGTAGAGGTTGGCGAGTCAGTACACGTGGCCTAAACGCCTGTATTCAGTGTATAATGGTTGGGGAGACAGTACGTGTGGCCTAAGCGCCTGTATTCCGTGTGTAGAGGTTGGCGAGTCAGTTCACGTGGCCTTAGCGCCTGTATTCAGTGTATAATGGCTGGCGAGTCAGTACACGTGGCCTTAACGGCTGTATTCCGTGTGTAGAGATTGGTGAGTCAGTACCCGTGGCCTTAACGCCTGTATTCATTGTGTAGAGGTTGGCGAGTCAGTACACGTGGCCTAAGCGCCTGTATTCAATGTATAATGGTTGGGAAGACCGTGTGTAGAGGTTGGTGAGCCAGTACGTGTTGCCTAAACACCTGTATTCCGTGTGTAGAGGTTGGCGAGTCAGTACACGTGGCCTAAGCGCCTGTATTCAGTGTGTAGAGGTTGGCGAGTCAGTACACGTGGCCTAAGCGCCTGTATTCAGAGTGTAGAGGTTGGCGAGTCAGTACACGTGGCCTAAGCGCCTGTATTCAGAGTGTAGAGGTTGGCGAGTCAGTACACGTGGCCTAAGCGCCTGTATTCATTGTGTAGAGGTTGGCGAGTCAGTACACGTGGCCTAAGCGCCTGTATTCAGAGTGTAGAGGTTGTTGAGTCAGTACACGTGGCCTAAGCGCCTGTATTCATTGTGTAGAGGTTGGCGAGTCAGTACACGTGGCCTAAGCGCCTGTATTCAGAGTGTAGAGGTTGGCGAGTCAGTACACGTGGCCTAAGCGCCTGTATTCATTGTGTAGAGGTTGGCGAGTCAGTACACGTGGCCTAAGCGCCTGTATTCAGAGTGTAGAGGTTTGCGAGTCAGTACACGTGGCCTTAGCGCCTGTATTCAGTGTGTAGAGGTTGGCGAGTCAGTACACGTGGCCTAAGCGCCTGTATTCAGAGTGTAGAGGTTGGCGAGTCAGTACACGTGGCCTAAGCGCCTGTATTCATTGTGTAGAGGTTGGCGAGTCAGTACGTGTGGCCTAAGCGCCTGTATTCATTGTGTAGAGGTTGGCGAGTCAGTACACGTGTTTCCTGGTTGTTGTTAAAGATTGTTTCCTGCACTTTACCCAACTGATGTTTGTCTCGAGTAATATTTTCACGAAATGAAATATTTCACATATTAAGAAACTTAAACTGAGATGGGCGTGTCATTTCCGTTAGGGGAATCGAACTCCGACCTCGTGTGAGATTATACGTAACACACTACCACTGGCCCACCCTATTGTGTTGTTTCAATGCTGACAATTGCAGCGCATGACATAAATTTACATGCCTAGTTCGCCTTGCACACTTTAATCCACATAAAGGATTTTCATGAGTAGGCAATGAACTTGTCGTAAGAGACGACTGATGGGATCGGGTGGTCAGGCTAGCTGACTAGGTTGATGCATGTCATCGTATCCCAATGGCGTAGATTGCTCATAATGTCAATCACTGGATTGTCTGGTCCAGTCTCGATTATTTACAGACCACCGCCGGATAGCCGAACTATTGCTGAGTGGACTCGATCAAGGTCATCCCCAAATTCATAAAGACACTGGGGACGGGAACTGTTTAATGTTGAGTAACATCTGTGAAGGTCAAGGTCGCCGTGAAGGTGATTGTGGTGCAGTTGTTAAATGATTTCAGTGATAATGGATGGAAAGTGATTTTAATCTTATAACGGAAGTGATCGTGACCTAATTCAAATGAACAGAATGTCATGTTTCTGTGGTTAGTTGAGTTGATTTGAGTTGAATTGGGTTGGGGTGATCTGAGGTGATCTGAAATGGAATTTAACATCGCCTTCAAGATTATTGCACTCATAGCGACGTGCATGCACGTGTGGGTGCGGGTGTGACTTCTTGTGCTAAAACTCAGGACTGTGCTAAAACGCTTTAACCACTAGGCTCCCCGACAGCCCCTGGAGGAGGGAGGAGGGCAATTAGCTGTGCAACATTCTAATCATTTATCAAAAGCACCAAGGGTCACTGAGTGAGTGAGTTGGGTTTAACGCCGCTTTTAACAGAATTCCAGTCGCGGCGTGTCAGCTTAATGTGGGAGGAAAGCCAGAAGTGATGCAGGTCTTAGACGTTTACCACTTCGGTGAAACCCACGAGCACGGGTATGGTGCTGACAAACCTAATCGGGGCGAACCGGGATTCCAACCCACAATCATAAGTTTCTGGCTGCCCAAGGGACGCAACTCTGCACACCGAATCGCGGCGCCTTAGACGACTGGGCCACCCCGTGCCACCCAAAGGTTACTGAAAAAACCATACATTGTGAACATAACTAGGATATCAATAAAATGTCAAGGGATGTGTTTGTGACGGGTGCCCCCGTAGGGAAGGATAAACTAACCATTAACGCATACCTGGTATCATCACTATTTAAAAACTATTCACAAAACATCCCTGTCATATAGTCGGAAGCGTACACTGGACTTTTCTTAGGATTACGGATAGGACTGTGTTGCATATACAAGTATTTACTTACGAAGAAGCTGTGTGACATTTTTTTAAACCTGTTTCATACGGAGTGAAGTATAATAGTGTACATAAACACTGGTTCATGATATACACTAAACTGTGATGGATAGCTATTATCGGTGTTTCCTTAATTCAGATCCATAATCACTCTTAACATTGGACTCAACCAATATCGCTCAATACCTTGGCTAACACCAACGAATTCGCGTTATGGTAGAATGGAGATAAACACACTGCGCGTTCAGCAAACTGGTGGCCTAGCTCTATATTGTAAACATCCGGGGTAGAATAGGTCTTCAGCAACCCATTCTTGACGTAAAAGGCGACTATGCTTGTCGTAAGAGGCGACTATGCTTGTCGTAGGAGGCGACTAACGGGATCGGGTGGTCAGGCTCGCTGACTTGGTTGATGCATGTCATCGTATCCCAATTGCGAGGATCGATGCTCATGATGTCAATCACTGGATTGTCTGATTCAGACTCGATTATTTTCAGACAGCCGTCATCTACCTGTAATATTGCTGGCGTTAAACAACAAACAAACAAACAAACTATATTGTAAACAATATATTTACCTCCTAAATATTCCAAGTTCCAACACTGAGCTGTACTGACACCATCAACTAACCCCATAACTGGGACACCATCAACACGAAACTAGATACGGAAGCATTTCAATCGCCCAATCTGATAACGTCAAATCCTACTGTTGTAAACACATGTCATCAAGCAAACCACACTATTTATATAATTAGAATGCAGGTATTAACTTTATTGGAAAAACCCACCCACTTCACAAATACTTCCTTCTGACCAGCTCTCTGTCTTGTCTTGAGAACATATTCCACTCGCCATATACTATAAGCAGGCTTGTCGTCTCACTGCATTTTCATAAGAAAACTGCCTTGAGTCGGATCGTCTGCAATGCCTTGCAATGCCTTGCAGATGATACACTGGCATACCATATGGATAGTTTCTTCTTTTTATAAAATCGATTTCATCAGTCAAGTTTTCTTGATAGTCTCTTTGAAAAGTATTTGTTAGATGAGTCTCATTTTAAAGGTGTGCTTGGTGTGAGATTTTGGTTTGACAGGTTTAATTAATGTATCAAAGCTTCATTCTCCGCATGAATGTCTGAGGGTGATCTCTGGTTTACTGTGTGATCTCTGGGTTACTGTGTGATCTCTGGGTTACTGTGTGATCTCTGGTTTACTGTGTGATCTCTGGGTTACTGTGTGATCTCTGTTACTGTGTGATCTCTGGGTTACTGTGTGATCTCTGGTTTACTGTGTGATCTCTGGGTTACTGTGTGATCTCTGGTTTACTGTGTGATCTCTGGGTTACTGTGTGATCTCTGGTTTACTGTGTGATCTCTGGGTTACTGTGTGATCTCTGTTACTGTGTGATCTCTGGGTTACTGTGTGATCTCTGGTTTACTGTGTGATCTCTGGGTTACTGTGTGATCTCTGGTTTACTGTGTGATCTCTGGGTTACTGTGTGATCTCTGGTTTACTGTGTGATCTCTGGGTTACTGTGTGATCTCTGGTTTACTGTGTGATCTCTGGTTTACTGTGTGA